CGTGCGTGTCGGCCGCCAGCACGTCCACGGCCATGCTGATGGTGCGGTCGCCGATGGCGTGCAGCGCGACCTGCAGGTGCAGCGCGTGCGCGCGCGCCACGACCTGGTGCAGCACGGCCGCCGGCCACAGCGGGTCCGGGTGCGCACCGCTCGCGTAGGGCTCGGTGAGCGAGGCCGTGCACGCATCGACGATGCCGTCGCAGATGACCTTGATGCCGACGACGCGGCAGTCGGGCGTCGTGGCGGCGTTGAACTTACTCGCCATGTCGGCCGCGCGGTCGATCTGCGCGAGCACCGCGTCGAGCGAGTCGTGCGGCTTGAGCAGCCAGTACGCGGCGATGCGCATGGGGCCGAGCCCCTCGTGCGCGCGCAGCGCCATGAGCGGCTCCCAGATGTTGTCGTCCATGGCCATGTCGACGATGCCGGTGTAGCCGGCGCTGCTAAAGTGGGCAATGGCGGCCTTGATGGCGGCCATCTTCTCGTCCATGGACGCGACGGTCGCGACAAACGGCCAGATGAGCTGGAACACGGCGCCCTCGTTGAAGACGCCGTTGAGGCGGCCGTCGGGGCCGCGCTGCAGGGTGCCGCCCGGCAGGTCCGGTGCGTCGTGCGGCAGGCCCATGCGTTCGCACACCTCGGCGAGCGCGGCGCTGTTGCACCAGGTGGAGTGCAGGTCCTTTGTGTCGACGAAGATGGGGCGGGGGTCGATGTCGTCAAGGTCGCCGCAGTGGACGCCGTCGGGGGTCATGCTGTGCGTCCAGCCGCGGGCAAAAAGGCGCGTGGCGGCGGGGTGTGCGGCGGCGCCGGCGGCGATGGCGGCGCGCACGTCGGCCAGCGTCCGGCAGTGGTCGAGGCTGATCTTCTGCAGCGCCTGCCCGACCATGAGCAGGTGCAGGTGGCCGTCGATGAAGCCCGGCAGCAGGTAGCGGCCGGCGAGGTCCTGCGTGGGGGCGCCGGCAGCCCGGGCGGCCTGCACGGGCTCATCCGTGCTGGCGCCGACGTGCCGGATCAGGCCGTCGGCGACGACCATGCACTCGGCAAACACGGGGACCTGCGCGTGCTGGTCCGCCGTCGAGGTGTATATGCGCCCGTTGACGAAGATGGTCGTGTCGGCCATGGTGCGTTTGTGTGTGTGTGTGTAAGTGAGGGGAAGCAGCCTCGCATCACCGATGTCGCCGCTTAATGTCGAGCGTATCTGCGGAGCATGCTAACAAGGCGGAGACTCCGCATCACGTGTAAGGCGCGTGTAAGCCGAGCTTGGCATTGTTGGGAGCCAGTTCATCGGTAATGGGGGTAGATCATGTAGGTGACGCGTTTGGTGTATTTCCGAAGCGGGCATGTCGACCCCGCGTGCTGTTCATGTCGGAGAACTGCTTGTAGAAGGCGGGGTGATGGGCGACCAGGATCATGCTTGCTGGTAGCCGTGTCATACAGCGTGTAATGCGTGATGTGATTGGATAAATGTAGGCACGCTCACAGATCAAAAAAATACGCGGAGAAAATGCCGGTTGTACAGGCGTACATGGGCGAGTCTGGCAGCATTCCTCGGCGCTACCTGCACGGGCGGCCGTTACCGGATTTAGCACCGAGCTCCGGCACCGAGCTCCGGGATGGGGTCCGTTATCTTCCGTGCGTCTTCAGTCCCGCCCCGCCATTTGATGATTGGTGGGCCGCAACACTGCAACACTCACAACACCCGACACACCATCTTGTTCTCATCTTGAAAAATTTAAAAAAAGACACAGCTCGCTCATGCGTCAACGTAGGTTTCAGCTATTTACAAAAACACCATCAAAGCCGCCACCAAAACGACCGCGGACAGCGCATACCCCGGCGATACCGTGTTGACCGCATCGCTCTTCTTGCCCAAGCCCAGCGGCAGGCCCTGCTCGGCAAAGGTCACGTTCTGCGGCACCGATGCATTCCAGCACCTTCCGTTCTCAATGTCCAGGCCGGTCAGGTCCTCCGGGATCTTGAAGAACATGTAATTATCCTGCGGGATATCCTTGAAGCCCTGGGTATTGTACGGCAGCTTGTCGTCGCTGTCCGTCGCCGACGTGTTGCGCAGCAGGATGCAGCTCACGCGGCCGGGGTAGTCCTTGTACATGGCCGGGTACGCCTTCATGACGTCGGCGTTGCTCGTGTCGGCGACGAGCACAAACGTGCGCTGCGGAAACGTCTGGAACAGGCGGTCGAGCAGGAAGCGCCGGATGGCGAGCGTTTCCTTGGTGTTGGAGAAGTTGAGTGGGCGCGTGTCAAAGGAGCCGGCGGGGTAAGTCCAGAAAATGAAGTCCATGTACGGCCGTGTGCCCTGCTCGGGCGTCGTCGTGAGGTAGTGGAAATGGAGCGAGGTGAGAGCCGACGAGGACCAGTTGCTGTAGATGTCGGGCATGTTCATCCAAGGGACAAACGGCCGCGCAAAGGTGTTGAGGAGCCCGTCTTTGGGCTTGTAGATTTTGGTAACGCGCAGGATGTCGTCAATATCGGACACGATAGTCACGCCCTTTGGCGGCACGAGGTAGGCGGTCGCGTTGCCCGTGTCGGTCCCGTTGACGTACATGGTGAGCGTCTGGATTGCCTCTGTCGCATTGCCGGGGACAAGGTAGGCGTTGGTGCCGTTTGTTCTGCTGGATTCGTTGCGGAGCGGGACGAAGACGTCAAAGTCGCCCTCGGCTGTAGTTTCATACGGCAGTGTGAATTCCTGGCCACCGCCTTTCTGATGTTGGAAGTGCATTAGTCACTGTGCAGTTCAACATAAGCTTGAGGCATGCACTTACGGCGTTGACGTAGGCGCCTCCCCGTGGAGAAGACGCATTGCTGCTGGGCACGACAAACCGCACAGTCACATTATCATGACCCTGTTGCACGACAAAGATTTCCCTCGTCAAGTTGCGCGCCTGCGTCTTTTCATTCTCCGCAAGGTCCTTGACACTTGTCCCGACCAGAAAACCGTCGGCCAAATGATCAATGGTATCCTGACTCACGTCTGGCACCTTGTACACGTTGCCCCGTACGCGGACGTTCCAGCCGTTGTCTGTCCAGTTTGCATAGGCACTGTTTCCATCTAGTTAGCCCGTCACTTGCAAGGTATTTGTTAAAAAAACGTACGGCAGGTTGAGCACCCGCGTGGGCTGCGCATCGAGCGCGCCGGCCGTGATGCCTAGGGCGCTCTCTACGGCAGTGCCCGTCGGGAAGCCGTGCGGAAAGTTGAGCAGGCCGTCGCCGACGAGCGACGAGATCTTGCTGTCAATGTCACTCCCTAAGCTCTTGACGTAGCTGGACAGGTCGTCGCCGAGGCCGCGGGGCTGGACCGGCACGGGCGTCGGCTGGGGGGGGGAAGCACTGTAACGGTCAAAATGAGCCTGAGTCGGCGCTGGTGTAGGCGCTGGTGTGGGAGCGGGCGCGGCCCTGCCGATCTCAACGGCTGCCAAGAGGGCTAGCGCACCGGTGGTGTTGAGCTTCATAGTCGCTTGGGCGCCGTTGCAGAAATTGTCTCGGAGCTTGGACCGGTCTATTCCTTGGCGATGTACCGGCGACGGAGAAGGAAGGAGTCGACGGGAAACGGCGTCCAAGACAGATAGGGCTGGGTCTCTTTAATAATAATAAAAATGAGCGCTCAGCGGTGACTAGTTGGGCCACGGCCGTTTCATCTCGTCTTTGTTTATGTGTGTGGCTGGCCTTGTTTTTATCCATGACATCACCTCATTGCGCCTCCAACGGGGCCTCGACTCTGGCTGTAACAATATCCCCATTGAGGAGTGGGCAGAAAAAAACATGCACCTTCTGTTTGGCGCATTTTTTTGTGCCGATCGTAAACCAATTTTTTGCCTTGTCGTGTTGCCCGGGTTTTTCGCCTTGTTCGCCGCGTGGGAATCTCGATGCACTGTGACACTTGTGTTGCGGCCCCACCGGTTCAAGCCATCGTGCAACCGGCAACGGCCGACAGTATGCGGCCTCCTTGTCAGACAAGACCTGACTCGCTCTATAGTATCTTGATGATGGCGGTTGAAGAAATTGATCCCGAGAACCCAGCGTGTGGTGGAAGAATTGACACTGCGAATAGCGCCAGGCGATGAACGATATAGTATTCAGCTGATCTAGGTCTCTATCATATGTACCAGTTGTAAAATGCACGTTTTCGTCGTGAAGAAATTCACTAGTTCTTGGCTGATTCCAGATCTGTGGATGATTGACATTGGTGAGTGTAAATGCCCAGCAGTTCTGCCGTGAATCGCTCAAGGTGGGCAAAGCGTCGCACGCCAGCGGTGCGCAGGCAGTCGTGCGCCGCCTCAAGCAGCGCAGGATGGTGGACGTCGGGGAGAGCTGCAATGTCGGCCAGCGAAACCTCGACGTGCTCTGCGCTGGGATCGCACAGCGCGTAGCAGAGGCGGCTGTCAGAGACGACCTTGACGCAAAATGCCTCGAGCAGGCCCGACGTGTCGATGAGGTCAAGCGCCTCGGGCAGGGTGGCGGCCTGCCGCACAAGGTCCTTTTCAGCGGCTTTCGCGTCTCGGGTGAGCCCATCCTTTGCCTGTGCAGCAAAGAGAAGCACCCGGGACAGCTTTTCGACGCCCATGTCGGGCATCTGGCGCATGTCGTCGTGGCTGTAACCCAGCCGCGTTCGCCAAAACCAGTTGCAGATAAAGGAGAGGACGATGACGGGGATGAGGATGACGTAGGCCCACCACTGAGTAGCTGTCAGCAGGGACGCGACACCACCGACGAGAGTTATGGCGCCGTTGATGCCACAGTACAGCTGCAGTTTTTTCCCGCGCTGCTTGACCAGCCTGTACTCGAGAGAGTCAGGCATGGCGCGGGCCACAGCGCGTACGTGGCCCTCCGTCTTGACAGCGAGGTAGGCGGCCCAGCCCGAGTTGACGAGGCCGTAGAGCGCAATGGGGGTGTTTCCAAGATAGCCGGACAGGATGTTACTAGCCAGCCAGACAGTCTCGTTGGCGCCGCCAATGGCCATGTAGGTGCCGACGCAGATAAGGACAGCACCAAAGCCCATGAGCACGTCCATGCCGAAGCGGTTGACGGTTTCGCAGCCGAGCTCGCGCAGGTTGAGCTCGGTTAGGACGCGCACATCGCGGGCGGCGTGGCCCTGCGTAGCACGTTGCTCGAGCGTCTCCTTGAGCTGGGCGCGCTGCCGCCGCAGGAAGACGACGTTGCGCCAGGCGTAGCGGGCATCGTCAAAGGCGAAGACGGACAGGATGCCAGCACCGGTCGCACCAATAGCCATGCAGACAATGGCATAGATGGGGACGGGGATCTGGTTCCAGACATTGGCGGCAAAATCGCCAGCGTTGGCGAGCTCTAGGAAGCCGACGGCGAGACCCAAGTTGTTTCGGAAGCGCTGCTCGAGGACGGCTGCGTAAACGCCGGTGGCAGGGTGGCGGGCGAGGCGAACACGCTGCTGGTGGCCAATCTCGGTAATACCAGATGCATTTTCGGGAGCGGCATCGTGGTGATGAGGGGGATGACTGTGGTGGTGGGAGGGCGCGGGTGGTGTTGTCGAGGTTAGCTCCATATCGAGGTCTGAGGCGGAGGCGGCATCGGGCTGTTGCACTGCCACGATTTCAGGGACTGTTGCCATGTCCTTTTCGTGCAAACGCTCCATAATTGCGGCTCCCCGGTGTGCAGTGGGCCAGCCGACTGCGTGTACGGATACTGTGCGTATTATTATGTGCTTCTTTTTAACAAGAGAGATGGAATGATGTGCTGCTGGGATAGGTGCTGAGAGAGGCCATTTTTCGCTTAGGGAGGCGAGAAGAGGACAGACGTGCCAGGAGGGCGGAGAAGAGAGAGGACGACGACGTCAGGTCCTTTTGACTAGGAGACGGGGACCTGGATTGCTTGGCCTTTTCTTCGCTGGAGCTCGGGAAAAAAAGCTTGTCAAAAGGATGAAATAAAATAAAATAAAATGAAATAGTTAAAAGAAAAATTCAGGATTGCGTGGCCTCGTGTCGTGCCGCACGCCGAGAATCCACCCGCCACTCTTCCGAATAGTTTAGCGGGCTGAGAGGGACAGTCGAGACAGTCGAGACTGGCCTTACGGGGGTTCGTTGAAGATCAGTCTTGGCATGGACTTTGACCGGTATGGATGTAACTACTGTAATTTGTACATTCGGTCCTCTTCAAGACACAAGTCCGTCTCAGCGTTCTTGACACGGACGCGATTTATTTTTCCACTCTCGTCCCATATCGTACTCTCGGGATGCCTCCAAAGTTGCCGACTTGCACCGCTGTCGCTGACAAGGTCCACCCCAGCGCCCTGTATCGTGTGTGCCCAACCTGGACATAAGATGATCGTTCAATTTAACCAACAAAATTCCATCAATTCCGAATACTATCTAAACTAGTTATAATTTAGGACAATTCCAGGAAAACACCGAGTACAAAGTCCAAGGTAGACAGCAGCAGCAACCCCTTTCCACCGCCCGTCTCCTCACACCCATGTCAGCCATGTCAGCCTCCCACCGAACCCAACTCCATCATCACCACCACCACATCCCTTTGCAGCATCGCGCACAACCTCTGTCATGCACAATCACGCCCATCCACTATCCCCACACTATCCTCCATTATTTCCCTCGTCACCTCAATCTGATAACCATGCAGCAGCCTCAGGCCATGCCAGCTCCCCGATTGACGGTTCCCTGGACCCAAGCTCGTCGCGTTTGCTACACCTGTTGACCATCTCGAAATAGCGTCGACTTCCCTCCCTAGACCGACCCATCAATTCTCGGCCCTCGCTATTGTTCAACGGCCACTCTCCATCCTCCATCCACGCCAGCGCCAACGCTAACACCGGCTCCACGGCGGATGCATCGGCATGTCCTGGCCTGCTGCTTCTCGGTCCAGCGATGCCTGTGCCGTCGCCCAACCGTTGCGGTATCAATATGCCCATCATGGCCCTAGCGCATGGCAGATGTAGCCCCGAAATCGTCAGCCCTCACCGACGAAACCTGCTCATCCGGAACCTAGACGAGACGAACCTCGCGCGTCGTTTTATCAAATCGCCAGCAGTTCTATTCTCGTTTCGTTTCAGTACTATTCTACCGCCAGCCCGCCATCACCTCGCAAAAATCGATACGCAGTCAGCGCATGAATCTGCGCCACCTGCACAAGCTCTCTAACCTCTACATGCTCATCCGGGCCTCCCATGTTGTGCGGCGTCAGCCCAATCACCACAGACGGGATCCCAGCCGCTCTGAACAACCGCGCATCAGAGGCTCCCACGCGCATGTTCACCACCGCCCGTTTGTCCACCATCAGCCTTGTCACCTCCAGCGCGTGCCTCGCAATCTCCTCTTCCGGTGGAGTCCACGACGCTTCGTAGGCCCGCACAATATCATAGCGTATCCCATCTGCCGTGTCGAGCATTTTCGCTATCTCTGCAGACAGCGCGGCCGTTGTCACCCCCATGGGCAGCCGAAAGTCCAGCGACGCCGACGCCTTCTCCGCCACCAGGTTCGTCGACGTCCCGCCGGAAATCGTGCCGATATTCACCGTCACGCTCCCAAGGACGCCGGCTTCACCAGCCCCGCCCAGAGGCTCGGACACTGGCTGGGCCGCCTTGATTGCCTCCCTCACATCCTTTGGCCCCGCGACCTCGAGCTTTTCCAGCGACTTGAGCTGCAACAGCGCCGCCATCAATCGGTCAATTGCGTTGCAGCCGCGATGCACATGAGCCCCGTGCGCTGGTTGCCCGCTGGCCTCTACCTCGAGCCACAGCAGTCCCTTTTCCCCCGCGCGTACAATCAGCGGTGACCCGGCATCGCCGCAAATCATGGCGTCCGCCTCGCCAACCTCTGCAACGTGCTGTAAAAGGTGCGCCGTGCCCAGTGTGCCCATGGTCTCCTCGTCCCCCACCAGCGCAATCACCACGTCGCCGCGCCAATTGTCTTTGCAGCGCGCCAGTGCCTGTGCGGCAATAATGGACGCCGCGATGCCCCCCTTCATGTCCGACACCCCGCGACCATAGGCGTACTGGCCGTCCCTGCTCAGTTGGCCGCCAAAGGGATCCAGCGTCCACCGAGAAGCTTCGCCGATCGGATACGTGTCCAGGTGGCCGCTAAAAACGAGCCGCTTTCCGCCGTGTCCCGAGCGAATCACGGCAACAACGTTGGTGATGCCTGGGCCGGTCTCCAAGGTGGAGATGTCGCTTTCCGGTATCAATTTTCGAATCTGATCCGCCGCCGCCAAGGCCACAGCGGACACATCCCCTGGCGGATTCGTCGATGGCGTCCGTACGAGCGTCTGCGTCAGTGACAAGAGGCTGTCCGCATTATCGTTGATTTCATCTCGAAGCTTATCTTCCACGTTGGACATTTTTTTAACTCGATTGATTGAAGGTATACAGCTTCGCCTAACGTTCTGCATGCAATCCCGTCTGACTCCATGCTGACCCACACACCCCGCGAGCCCCGTTTCTCGGCGCCGCCACTCACGCAGACTGGTTCGCCTTGAACTGATCATATTCCACGACAGCATCCAGCAGGGTCTGCGCGCCAAGAGCACTTTATTTTTGACGTTAGTTATGAGCCCAATAAATCCGACGGCGCACGGCACTTACCAGTCTTCCGGGGATGTGTACTCTTCCGGATGGTGGCTGACGCCATCCTTGCAGGGGACAAAGATCATGGTCGTAGGGCATCTCTTGCTCGTGCACACGCTGTCGTGGCCGGCGCCGCTCGTAAGATGGCACCACCCGTCACTCCCAACCGTCTTGGTCGCCGCGTTCTCAACCGCCCGGATGCAGTCCTTGTCGAACAGGACGGCCGGCGAGTCGGTGTCGAGCGTCGTCGTGTAGCGCACACCTTTGCCATCTTGCTTGGCAATCTTGGCAAAGGCCGCGTCAATTTCTTCTACCACGGTCGCCACTACGGAATCGTCCGGATGCCGCACGTCGAGCGTAAACGAGACGTCGGCGGCAATGGTGTTTGTCGACGATGTGGCTGGAATCTTGAAAATGCCCGTCGACGCCAGCGCCCCGTAGCCCTTGGCGATTTCGTGCGCCTGGGATATCATCTTGGCTGCTGCGAGTAGCGGATCACTCCTCATGTACAACGGCGTTGTCCCCGTGTGTGAGTCCCGCCCGGTAACGCGAATGGTGAACCACTTGTAGGCCTGCGAGCCCTGCACAACGCCGATTTTCCGACCCGTGTCCTGCAAGACGGGGCTCTGCTCAATGTGTAGCTCAAAGTGCGCGCCGAGCGGATACGCCTCGTGTGAGCAGGCGACAGCGCCAATGAGCCCGTGGCGCGCGAGCTCCGACTTGACCGTCTTGCTGTGGTCAAAGACGTCGCGCGTGTTCCAGGCGGCTTCGAGCGTCATCTTGCCGGCCCAGACGGCAGACGCCATCATGGAAACGGGAAATCGTGCGCCCTCCTCGCTACATTCCATTAGCCGCCTGATACATGGGGGTACTCTTCCGGTAGTTATGTGCTACATACTTTGTCCAATTGACGACACCCACGTCAAAGTGCGTCTCGTAGTTATTGTCCTTGAGCGTGCGCATCGCCTCCACCGCTGCCACCACGCCCAGGATCCCGTCATACCGGCCCCCGCGGGGCTGCGTGTCCAGGTGGCTGCCCATGGCAATCATGGGCGCCGACGATTTCGCCTTGCCAGCCTTGCGCGCAAACATGTTGCCGAGCTGGTCCACGGTGACGGTGGCGCCCAGATCCTCCATGGCGTCGCGGAACCAAGTCCGGGCCGCCGCGTCGTCGTCTGTCAGCGCCAGGCGGTTCATGCCCGTCTGCGTGGGACCCCTGGCTGCCTTTGTTAGGGATCAAATAAAGCACGAGAGGGGGGGCGGACGGACTCGCCGTAGCGGTGCGCGGAGCCCCATTGGCAGGTGTGGTGAAGCGTCTCGTGGAGACGCGCTGCGTTGATGCGCAGGGGAGGCGCCGCGACCGAGTACAGCCGCGCGCTGCGTCGCGTATGGGACAGTGGAACGAGAGGACGCATCGTTCCTGAAAAACAATGAATGACGAGATGGTAGATGGAGAAGAAGAGCAGCAACGCAGCGTTTTTGTGCGCGATGGGGAAGGCGCAGAGTTTTGATGATAACGGGTAGTGTATGTACGCCCTCTAACAGTTTTGCCCCAATTGAGGCGCTACTAGCGACGTGGTGATGGTGCTGCGCCAAAGGGGCGCTGTCATCTGTTGCCAAAGCTTTCCGTTTATTTTGTTTTAATTTGCTTACTTTCTTTTAGCAACGGTGAGTGCATTAGCGGAGTTGCATTGCCTACTGTTAATTCCGCATTCTCTCGATAGCTACCTCTGATAGCGGGCAGCACTCTCACAACACAGCCCGTATCATAAGAGACTTCCAAGTCAACTCACCAGACAATACCAAACATGTCGATGACTAGTATAGATAAAAAAAAATCTTTTTCAAGGGATTCGGATACGCAGATGATACATTCAGAAGCTAGCTAAAGTATATATCTAACCCATTTTATACAATTGACACAACTCTTGATAGAGGGAGACCTCGGTCCGATGCGGCGCATTGCAAGCAAAGGATCAACCTCTGCCCGAATGCAACGACAAGGGACACTTCCCATGCGGACTTGGCGTGGTGAAGAATCCAGCACGGCCGCGCGCAACCCATAAGTTACTTGCAGATTCCGACAAGAGCCTAGAGTGCATCGGGTAGCGTGAGCGGTTGAACGGAACGGTGCATGGAGCGAGAAGAGAGGGAAAAGGGTCGTCAGTGGAACTTACACCCTTCTCCTGGAGGCAGAAGCCTGAGCAGCAGTTGCCAAAGGAGCCGTCGGCCTTGCAGGTATTGCCGAGGTCGATGCAAGTGAACCTCTTAACGTCTTGGGGGGCGGCAACGTTGGCGGAGACGGCAGCGGCGCCCATGACGACGGCGAAGATGGTGGCGAAGAACTTCATCTTGAATGAGTTGGATTGATTGAGCTGAGATGGCTGAGGTGGTTGAGATGGTTGAAGTAGTTGAGATTCTTGAAGTGGTTGAGATTGTTGGAGTGGTTGAGATGGTTGAAGTGGGATGGCAGGGTCCTTTTTATATTCAAAAGTCAGACCCTTCCTGTTGTCATGACCATGACGAGACGCGGACCCGGTGGCTTTCCGAAGCAGCAATTGTTTGTCAACGACACGCGGACCCGGCGGCTTTCCGAAGCAGCAATTCTTTGTCACCGGGCTCAATGATACCATAGGATATCAAAGGTTCATTGTTTCATTGTCAGTTGACCGCTGTGGCAACGTCGAAAGACTGGTAAATACTCCTTTCCCCCCTCTTCTATTATGATGGAAAAGGCTTTGGACAAAGGCAAGTTGGTTGAAATATTCGAGGTTCCTCTTGTCCTACCGGTTCTTTCCCATCATCTTTCACACGCCTTGGCGGCCGGGCAATCCTGCCCCCCCAAGAGAAAGAAAAGACAAAAAGAACGCACGTCCGGTTCAACTCACCAAGAAAAGACAAAAGGAACGCACGTCCGGTACAGCTCACCAAGAAAAGACAAAAAGAACGCACGTCCGGTACAACTCACCCAAGAACAGCCTGCCTAGCCCAGCAGACAATGTGACCAAAATGAGGCTGCATCATTGTTTTTGGACGAAATACTGGGCATTCTCAGACATGGAGGCATGCAGGCGGCAAACAAAGCTGCGACCTGGTTAGGCAAGGGTTACGCTCACGCGGCCTGATTCTTGGATCTAGCTTCCATCCTTGGTCTTTTCTCAAAACAGGCCCCTTTGTGTCGCTGACGCGGGCGGTCGAGGCGGGCGCGTTGACGGCGACGATGAGCACGTTGCATCTTGGTGAGCCGTGTCGCTGTGGAGATGCAGGCGCGCGCCGAGTTCCTGGGTCTCATATCCAACCTTGTGTTTCGGCCAAGCTTTTTTTCGGGGACAAGGTCAATTTTGAGACACTGTGTACCAACGCATGTTCAAACAAATTGCTGCCCCAAGGGCAACTACGTCAATGACGGCTTTTAGAGACTCGACGACGGCTTTGGCAAGAGCCACAGGATTGACTGGTCGGAAAACGGTCGGCGGGAGCAGGTGACAGGTGTCAAGCACGGTGCTCTGCATAACAAGAGTTTGTTCCAGAGCGCAATAGAGAATAGAGGGGATAGATAGTACAGGGGAAGGTTACCCTAGAGTCTAACAGTATATATCAGGAACAGGATACCTGCATTAACACGCACACAAGGTATATACCAAGGTGACGTTTCAATACTTGTGATTGATTATGTTATCAGGAAGAATTCACTTGAATATATAAATGAGGCGTCAGTATTCATGTGGTAATGGTGTTGCGCTAATGTCCAGGACGCGGTCATGAGCTACCAAACTTTTGCAGTTATTGAATAAATTGATACCTCGGAGGTTTACACGTCTTTCATTGGCTTTAAGTCTGGGGTGCATTGAGCTCGTCACGGCAAGTTTCACTGCAGGTTCTCGGCAGCACATGATTGCCTTCAGGGTATCTACAATCAAGGAAGATCCCGATCTACCTTGGCGCCATCATCTAGGTAGTGTTGCATTGTTTTCGCGTAAGCGATTGTGAACAGAATGCTACGTACAAGGGAGACGAGTTAGAAAAAGAAAAAAAAGAGAAGGGGGGGCTGAATGGACTTAGACCTGGCTTCTGAAGGCAGAAGTTCCGAGCAGCACCTGCCCCAGGAGCCATCGGCCTTGCAGTAAAGGCCGTTGTTGACGCATGAGTTCACTCTTGATGGCGGGCGGCGCTGGTTAGAGTGGGTGGTTTGGAAGTGATGAAAAAAATACAAGAAAAAAAAAAGAAATTCGAGTCGGGATGGCAAAATATCTTTTTTTATATTTTAAAGCAGTGCTGTATGTTGGCCTTTACCACACTGCTTCGTCGGTGTCGTGGCATTTCCGACCATTGTATTTTAATGAGCGCTTTGCCCAGCCAAGAGGTTGTCAGCAGCGTGGGCGCTGGTTATGCGGGCGTTTGTGGTTGGGCGCAACACAAATCCCGCGTTGGCCCTTTTCAAGTGCTAAAGGTTCTGATTTTTTGTTGGCTAGGAATAATAATAATATCCCGCTTCCAAGGTTTGTCGCGAGGAACACCAAATGCTTTCGGTTCGTCGCGGCAAGTGTCTCCAACACATGATCTTTCCCCGTTTGCAACACATCACAAATTGGTAGCAAAATTACATTAAAAAAAACAAAAAGAGAAAAAAAAGAAAAGTGACTCTACTCCGGCATGGCTTCAATAGCAGGAATCCTCGCACGACTCTCACCCTGAAATTAGTTAGGGTGGGGGGCTACAAGTGTTGCAAGAGTCATTGGGGGTCGGTTTCTTTCGGCCCGGGGCTCCGAAATCTCCGGTCCGAAGGGCGGACCCCCGCCCTTCCCATGGGTCCGGCTTGTTACGAAAAGCCAAGCCTTGACAGGTTTCTGCAACAACATCATGAGTCACCAAGCGCTAGGTTTCATATAAATCCCCGGTATTACACTCGCCCGTTTATCACACGACAAACTGCCTGCCAGAATGAGGTTTTCTTTTTTTTATATCTTCCAGGATGAAGAAGTATTATACGCTCAAGTCATGAAAATTTCCCACCTCTGAAACCAGTAACAGAATACAACATGGCGTCGGAGCCAATCAACTTTCCCGCCATCACTTTCATCCCCACGACCGTGTCTACTTAAAACAACGTCAAAAGATCATAGCGACACGATACAATAGGAGTCGCTTCTTACATACTACACCAAAGGGACATATGCATTACTTGGGGGGTTAAATATAATCTAACCATATACTGACATACGGTTTCGTTGCTTTTTTTTCGGCAATGTGTCCACCATTCCTACCAGCAAAGCTGACAAGGGCAACCACCAACATGGACGGCAACAGCCCCGATATCACGATCTTGCAGTCACTGACACGACACTGCATCTTCTAAAGTGTCTCACCAAGGTTACAACAAATCCTGGCGACATGTAAACCATACAAATTACCCTATCAATGTGGCTATGTTTCTACGAATCATTGACTCGAGTATTCTGTATCGAGATGGGAACACTTTCGGCAGCAGAGCCAGCTATATAACCTGGAGAGAATCTCATCCAACTCAACACTGCTTTTCTATTTCCATCAAAGACCTTGTTCTCCAAACTCACTCTACTCTACACTACTTTACTACACTCGCAATCCCTACGCCAACCACTCCTTTACTACATCGCAATCCCTACGTCAAACTTGAAACTTACTACTCCCATTATCAACATGGTTCGCCTCGCCTATTTCCTATCTCGTAAGTGACAAAACCAATGAGCCAAAAAGGCACTGCTCTGACCTGGAATATAGTGGCCCTGGCCGCGCAAGGGCTTCACGCCGCTCCGACTGCTCCAAGAGCCCACGGTGACCTGCAGACCCGCGGTTATGTAGTCAGCGAGCAGAGTACCGATATCACCACCCGTCAGGAAAGCAGCCAGGATGCGACGGGCCGCGACGGAGGCAAAGCCGCCGCCGAGGATGAGGCCGGCCGGATTGCC